CCAGGACTCAAACTTATGTCTGTAACGCTCTTGAACATGCTGTGTTGCCCTAATGTTTTACCTTAGCAGAGGCCTGGACTAGTCACGATGGTCCCAGCTGACCATGAACTTCTAGAACCCTCTGAAACTGAGCTAGTTTTTCACAGTGACGGAAAGTTGACACCACTGTTCCACCTCTCATGTTCCCCAGAGCGGAGCAGCTCGGGTGTGTCGACAGGCGCCCGTGTTGACAGTGGTTCGGGAAGAGGCACAGCTCGGGTGTGTCCACGGGCGCCTATGTTGACAGTGGTGTGAGAGGACTCTCTTCTCTTCCGTCCCTTACCACACCCAGTTGTTAAACTCGACTCATTACCAAATCAACCCTCGAGTGTTTCCAACAACGTCATCCTGGATTATAAATTGTTCTGCCGTGAACAGGCCCAGCTTCTGACTCCTTTGAATGAATAGTTTCCATGGTCAGGGGTGGGTTTGGTTCAGACCCACAGCCTCCTCCTCGTATGTGTGCCTGGTTCTCTCTCACAAACCAGGATGCCTGAGCTCTAGTTTGCAGCTTGGATCCCTCCCAAATGTCTTCTCCATAACCTTCATTTTCCTTGACAGAGCCTTTGGTCTTCAATTTCTCACTCTGAAATAAACACAGTCAGTTCCTTGGGGAAAGGATGAGATCTGTTTGCTCTGTGGCCCAGTTTTTCTTCATCCTGGCACTCTTCGAGCCACGGCTCTGGCATCTGGAGTAGGAACACCAGCAAGCTTCCCTCAGATGGCTCCTCAGCGGTGCCTTGAAGGACAAACTCCTATATTAATGCCTTTCAATGTGACATTCCCTTTATTTTCAGCTAAACACTCATAAACCCTCATAGCATGAATTAAGGGTGTCCAGAGGCATTCCTGCCCACCACTGTAGTCTCTTAAGCAGTTCTTTATGACCTTGAGCTAAACATGACAAAACAAAATCATGTTCTGTCTTCTTAAATTAGCACCTTTAAGCTGAGAGTGAGCTAGGACTTACTCTTTAACTGAGCATGCTCAGAAGTGTGCCCGCCCCCAGAGTGGTTTGGATGTGAATGAGTGAAGACTCCCGGAAGAAAATCTCAATGCCTCCTTTCTTGAGGGAAGGTGCTGCTTTGGAAACGGCTCCTAAGATCTCCTTATTTTCTGCAGGGAACCCATCATTCCCTATTTTCATGCCTTGGTCATGCTCAGGTCAAGCTTTTCTCTCACCAAAGTGTGAACACACTGCTCTCAGGTCCAGCCAGATTCCTTCAAGGATCTGATCACCGTGAACAAGCAGGAGGCCTTGTCTTTCTTGTAGAAACAGGGCAAGTGCTGGGTCCTCTGGCAGGTAGAGTGGGGGAAGGGCTGGTCCAGCCAGTCTCTTCCTGGGGCTGAGCAAGATGGTGAGTGGCAAGGACTCAGACCCTCCCCCATACGCACTGAGTCCGGAGTCTGTCAAGCAGGATCTCGATTTATTCCAACAGGCAGGAACTTATATAGGGCTGAGGTAGGGGATGGGGATCTTAGGATAGAGTAAGGTGACGTGAGGAGTAAGGGCCAATAATATTCCACCAAGCTGGCAGGTAGCTAGGCAGGGGGCAGTCTTATATCAGGTCTTACTGAGTCACCCCCACATGGAGGTTACAGGTCAGAGACAGGTCGCCAAACTCTAGCCAGGCTCAGGAGGTTACACTGGGCCTCACATCCAAGCCCTAAACTCAAGTCAGGCCCAGGAGGTTACAATGGGCCTCGCATCCGAGCCTGTTTTTACGCCCAACAGGCAAGAATGAACAGGACCCCATAATCATAGCACTGAACTCCCTCCCCGGCCTCCACCTCAAAAGTGAGATGAGTGAGGAAAGGAAGCCCCGCCTGATACTGTGCTCAGCGGGAGCTGGATCTCAGGCATGGGTAGGAGGGTAGGATGAGAAATGCCAAAGACCAGCTCCCCAGGGAAGAAAGCTCTTTGGCAAATGCTGGGGAGGTGGAGCCCTGTGGTTTGGCTCTTGCAATTCAGTGTAATCTCAGCCTCAGTGAACTGGGATCAGCGGGGTACGAGAGAGAGATCTCTAACAGCAGACTCAACTTGGTCACCAAAACTTCCTGAATGTTCCAGTGTAGCGTTCCTTGCTATCTGCCTCATACTGTCTTCAGAGTGCTCTTTTCTGGTTTGACCAAGGAGTGGGTTGGTGGGGTTCCTGGTCCTGTGGACCAGATGGCAATCTCTGCTCTTGCCAAACTTCATATTCCGAGTAAGGAAAGAACAACTCTGTGAGACTGCAGCCAGATTGTGCTTAGGGCGATTGTAGAGCAGATGGTAAGGATTTCCGTGTGGTTTGGGTGTGCCTGCCAAAGGTTAAGAGCCCCCGAAAGGTGCTGTTCAGAAGTGGCAGAACTTTAAATGGTAGATCCTGGTGGAAGGCAGTTACGTCTCTGGAGGTATCACAGTGCCAATGGATTAATGCTGGTCAGGATCAAAGAGTCAGTTCTCAAGACCACAGGTTATCACAAAGTAGGGCTGGGCTACGTACCCACCCCGCCCCCTTTTTATGCAGTCATTTGCCTTTCTACCATGATGTGATGCGACTGTGGGACCCTGACCAGAGACAACACAAATAGGATCACCCAGTCTTACAGTTCAAACTAAATACATCTCTTTTCTTTATGAAGAACCTAGGCTCTGGTGTTTGCTACTACAACAGAAAATGGACTAAGACAGAACCACATAAAGCATTTAGTGCTTAGAGTTGTCTATACTATGCTCTAGTGTCCAGTCCCTTTCTGAGACTCTGTCTGCTGTACGTGAGATCCTAGATCAGACTCAACATACTGCAAAAGACAGGTGAGCAAGAGTGGGACTGCCCCAGGATGGGGCAGCCACACAGACCTTCCCAGCGGAGCTGGTGACAAGAGGAGTCATTTCTAGCATCTATCTGTATTGTAGCCTTCCTCGTCCTGTTGAACCCCACGTATCAAGAGCAGAGAGTAATACTTGACTCTCAGTCATAGTTGGTACAAGCATTCTGGAGATGAAACAGGTAATGTCAACTAAGTTTTTAAAAGTGCAACTGTCCTTTGTCTTGGTACCCTCCCTAACATGAGGACAAACTTCAAAAACTTGCCAATATCCAAGCATGAGGATGTGAGCTGAAACATTTTGGGATGATAATAAAAAAGCAGGACACAGGCTCGGTAACTCTCAATAGGGGATAGTAAGTAAAGGTTTATGCAGCTCTATGGTAAAAGACTAAAATAGAGCTCAGTAAAATGGAGTATTCACTGACATAAAATGAGCTCCAGTTTTTACAAGAAAGCAACATACAGAGCAATGTGTGTAGTCTTGAGGATTTGGTGTCCACTCTATAGACACCAGTGTCCAACATATGCTCAACATATATTTTCTGGAATAAGTCATAAACAATTATCTTGTTTTAGAATGCCAGTTATTGGTTTTGTGAACACTTATGTCAAGAGAGTATGAGGTGGGTAAAAGGTCTTCAAATTTTATCATTCTTTCTAGATATGGCTAGGATGCTATAAACCTAGATTTGTATGTATCATATGTGTATATATGCATATACGCATATTAGTCAATGGGATTACTCATATGGGGTGAGTTGAGGGGCATTGTTAGTTTCCTTCTTTATGCATTATCTACACTAATTTAAATTGGTCTTTTAAGACAAATTTTGCAGAATGAGAGTGTTTTCAGACTTCAAGCTTGTGGAGCCACAGTCCTGGTTTTCTTGACCGCTCCCGCCTGTATCCCATGGCTGGCTGTGGAAATGGGGCCAAAAGTCTTTGTGTCATACACACAAGTACAGGTCACCACAGAACCTCAGATGGGACTCACAATTCTGCCACAGGTGTTCAGGCAGAAGTACCAGGTGGTTTCAGGTGGCTGCCCTGTAGGCTCCTACTACTCAAAACACACTCTGCACACCAGCCTCACACAGGCACTAGTTGGAAAGGCAGGATCTCAGCCCCCCCATATGTGGATCTCAGTAGACATCATCGAGAGCTGCCAAGTGACTCAGGACCACACTAAGGTCTGATGAGCCTGGTGTCACCTTCCCAAGGGACTCCTGCTGGTCTGAAACAACCAATCAGCCTTCAAGACAGCAGGTTGTCTGTCATACAGACTAGCCACCTCCCACATTTGCTGGTCTGAAACAACCAATCAGCCTTCAAGACAGCAGGTTGTCTGTCATACAGACTAGCCACCTCCCACATTTGCTGGTCTGAAACAACCAATCAGCCTTCAAGACAGCAGGTTGTCTGTCATACAGACTAGCCACCTCCCACATTTGCTGGTCTGAAACAACCAGCCTTCAAGACAGCAGGTTGTCTGTCATACAGACTAGCCACCTCCCACATTTGGCTCCCTCTGTGTGCCACCATTTCCTTTTCTTCTGTTTCATCACGAAGTGATGCTGCCATCCTGGGCACATGGAATCCAAGTGTCTGGGGTGGGACCCCAGTACAACAGGGTCTAGTGTGCAGGCTGGACCAAAACTCAGATATGCAATTGGGATCTCCTGCCATACTCCTTCACATTTTCCTCTATGATCATTTGTGGTGTGACCTTTGCCCTCTTGATGGGATTAAAAGCTCAGCTATTCCTGCTTTACCACCATTGCTATTCAAAACACCATTCAGATGATTCGGAGGCTGAAGCTACTCATGCCAATCTCCTCTGCGCATAAGCACAATTCTGTCATGCCCATTTGTTCCCTGTACACGATTTCAAAGAAGGAACTAAAAGAACACTGAAGACTCTTCCAGCCACTTACAGCCTGCCGTCTGGCTCCACTCCCCAGCTCTGTACACTGGCAGACATCGCACAGACACTGAAGGTGTCAAATGTTCCCTCTACCTATGACACGGCTGTGTTCTCATTCCTCACACCATTAACTGTACCTCCCATTCCACGGAAGCTCGTCACCTCACTGTCACCTCAGCCCCACACCCACACCCAGGGCCCACAAACACCCAGGAGACACAAGTGAGTTACTCTGATGTTTATTTTAATGTATCTTAGTCCACACAGTTGGTATAAAATCAGAAAAAGCAAGCAAAACAAGAAAGGTCTGGAGTCTTAGCATCAGAAGGGCACCGTATATACATCTACAGTTGGTGGCCAATACAAGTCATTGCCAGACAGTCCTTGGAGGCACCGGACACTCTAGACCCAGCAAGCCAGGGAACTCACAGTCCCAGGGGTCTAGACACTTGTCCCGATGCTCTGACCGTGAGAAAACTGTGGGAGTGGTGGAGGCTTTGAGATTTATTTATCGTAGTAACAACAACAGCCTAGCTAGGTACGAAAGCAGTTATGAACCGTTTATATCACACACAATTATTCAGGTCTCCATTCTACTTTATGCCATAAAACTGTTAATTGAGTTTCCAGTGAGTGGTTTAAATGATTAGTAATAACGAGGAATGGTAAATCCATAGCACCATTTCACAGACTCCTTGTCTCTGACTTCTCATTTAAATGTGTGGCCCTGGTACTCTGCCCGAAAGGACAAGTGTTCCAGAGCCACCAGCCATGTTTTAGCAGAGGGCTCTGGTCAGGGTGTTTTGTCTGTGAGTGCTTAGGGCTCCACACAGCAATTCGGGGAGTGGATATTCCTGCTAAATGTACCAGGTCACCTACAGTGTGAAGGCATTTGGCCATTTTGGGTTTGTCCCCATACTTTGGTTATCCTATGAGGTTGAATGGGAGGGAGGTATCTGATTTTACATGAAAGGGGCCACATGGAAGTTTTCATGTCTGAGCAAAACAAAAGAAAAAAAACAAAAACAAAACAAAGATACTGAGCTTGGTTATAGTGTTAGGTTGTAAAGTTCTTTGAGATTCAACACGAGGCTGACAGTCAACATAAAAAGCAAACAATCCTATGTACATATATGTAAAAAGTGTTATAAATAGGTTTTATAAACCATAGATAGTATATACATCTTCAATTGACAGGAATCCCCACTCAATTGCGTTCTGTTTGGTTTGACTTGAGTTGGGGCTTGGGGCTAGCTCTTTTTGGTTTGTTCGATTTGTTTTCTGGTTTCCTTCCTCCCTCCCCATGTACCCTATGAGTGCTCAGAGCCTAGACGGATGGTGCAGTGTCGTCGGGCGCCTCATTCACGTTTCCGAAGGATCACGTAGATAATGCCACTGAGCAGGGCCAGGGGAAAGGCCACCCAGGCCAGGATGTAGGCGAAGCCATAGGCGTATTCAGTGTTGACATGCCACTCGCTGTGCCTCACTGTGTAGATGGCCGCTGCACTCATCACGCAAAGACCTGTGCAGAGGAAGACAGAAGGTAACTGGGGGTTCACAGTGGGGCTACGGGCTCTCTGCCACCTGCACACCCACAGGGCTAGGCAGGGAGAATGCTCCTCACCGAGGCGGGCCTCCCAGCACAGACTTGGGAGGAGACAGCTGGAAAACACATGAGTGAAAGGAAAATGGACAGCTCCCCACTTCCAACCTTGGCCACCCATGCCAAGATCTCTTCTGAGGGTCCTCCGCACACGTTCTGCCTCTTTTCTTTCTTTCACTGTCACTCTCTTCTCGGCCATGGATGGATAGTGAGGACTCAGGCTATAAGATAGGCCTGCCCATCTCTTCCCAGAGGTGGCTGGGTATGCATAGGCTTGTGAACCTGTGACCCACTCTACAGATGGGCAGTGTTGTGCACGACCAGAGACCAGTGGAACCGAAGTGATAATACACCAATGGTGGTGTCACGGGATAACAGCAAAGGCTTGACTCCTTGTTGACCACAGGGGACAAGGTTCCCTTAGTGATGCTGTCCCATGAATGGAGTGAGCAGTACCTACTGGTGATACAGGGCAGACAAAGGCTTGCAGTGGAGAGGGGAAGGGAGGCAAGGAGGAAATGAAGATGACAGGGAGGGCGAGAAGTCAAAGCTGCAGTGAGAGGGAGGACGCAGATAAAGAACAATTGCTCCATTCCATTTGGTGACCCCAAGGCCAGGGCTGAAGCTCAAAACAGGTGAAAGACTATCAGGCCACCCCAACTCTCTGGTGCAGCTACCATGCTCAACCACCTATGCCCGTGTGACAGTCGTGTGTGTCCCTGCACAGAGAGGGGTCCCATGACATCAGCACCCCAGCCTGGAGCTGGACAAAGCCAGGTCTGTTCCCTATTGCAAACAGAGCCTTTGAGATGCTCTAAAAGACTATCATAAAGCAACAGGCTGTGTGGGATTCATACGGTTCCAGGGCTCCAGCCCCTGGACCACCTACAGCTAACCTCACTGCTATTTGGACTGCTGACATGGTGGATAGTTCAACTTTGTCTGACTAAAACAGCAGAAGTGGGTGATGTCACACAATCCATCCTGATCAAATTGTCCTTTGGCAACCCAGAGGAGAAAATGGCCACTCAGCTTGCCCCCATTGGAAAAGTCAAACATAGACTTGGAGCTGATATGGGGTGGGACCTAGGACCTGCCACGACCTACAGAAAGTGCAGAGACAGGAAAGTTGGCCATGTCATGGGAAGCCATAGTCCTGCTGAAGGATAGCAGCAGTTTGGATGTTCAGAGACACACTTGCCCAGCCTTGACCCAGGGTTTGCAGTTTTCTTGGCTTGTTGCTCCCTGGGCAGCCCTTCTAGTTAAGAAATGGCAGGGACATGGGTGTGAATCAGTGGGGCAATCCTGGCCGAGCAATTCAAACCAGCCAGTACAGGGCCAACTGAGAAACTCCTGGTAACTCCTCATCAGCTCTGTTTCTCTGGAGTGCTCACTGTATGTTCGTACTGTCCTGGACAGTGAACACACTAGGATAAAGGAGACAAGGCTCCAACCTTCAAGGGATGCCTGTCCAGAAGACAGACCTCCCTTTCAATACAAAACAGTGTAAGAAGGAGAGGAATGTCCCCAAGGCTCTGACAGATTAGACGGGCTGAGCTCCACATGGCAGAGTACAAGCCTTGAGGGTGATGGCAGCTCAGGGGGATCCCAGGGATATATAGAGATAGCCAGGTGAAGAAGAGCAGGGTGGAAACTCCAGGAAGAGGAGCAGGGTCAAGGCTAAGACTGGGAGAAAGCACTGAAAATTACCAGCAGGTGACAACAGTCTCACGGGACAGGAGGCTGGGTCAGGGTGGCATGGCAAGGGGACAGCCTTGTAGGAATCTCTAGTATGCAGGAATATATGAGCAGGCTCGTGTTCTGGGAAACTATCCCCTGGCCAGATGGGATGGTACAGATCAATAACCCCAGCACTCAGGAAGCTGACACAAAATGATCTCAAAGATCAGCCTGAGCGACATCATGTCTCAAAAATAAAAACAAAGGCAGGGGCATTTGCTCTTTCAGAGGATCTGGGTTCGATTCCCAGCACCCACAGGATGGCTCATAATCATCTTTACCTCCAGGTCCAGAAGGACTCAACGTCTTCCTCAGGCCTCTATGATCATGACATTGCAGGTGGGGCACAGATACACATGCAGACAAACCCCCCATATACATACAATAATAATAGCAAAACGTTTTAATGTAAAAACTAAAAACGCAGAAGAGAGATCTCTCTAGAAGCTGAGCAGAAATGGGATTGAGGGTGGATGGGGTGCAGGAGGTGAGGGGTGCAGGGGTAGGCTTGTGCACTGGCGCAGTGGTATCAATGAATGCAGAGAAAATAAGCGCCACAGCACCCACTGGGGATGCCATACCACAGAAGGAGCAGGCCGTAGACTGGACGTGGGAGGAGTAGGAGGGAGGGGGAAACAGGGCCATCTGTTGTGTATGCGCCCAGGACCTGACATCTCAGTGGTTGACAAATTAACAGTACGTCAAGTCGCCAACAGTCCAGACAGCAGTGGTGACATCCAACCAATGGAAAACTCCCCAAGACCTGGGAGGCCTGTGCAGACCATTTCCGCTACAGAGGCAGGGACAGGAAGCTGGATAGAGTGGACTCAGAAAGCCCATGCAGAATACTTGAAGGCACAGCCCTGACTCATCTCAACCCCATCATCGTCATTAAATAAAATAAATAGGAAAAGATAAGACTCACTCTGGAGTCCACTGTTTCTGCCGTCTTTCTGTCCCCCTTAATCGTAGTAACTGGGATCAGCCTGGCAGAAATGAAGATATTCTAAAGAGACAATTGAGTCTCTCGATCTGACCATCAGGTTGTTGAAACAATGGACCCCAAAGAAATGGGTATTTCCCTAGAAATTTCATGCTGAGAGAAGGAAAGGGCACCAGTAGGAGGAGAACTTGTCTCCCGGGGAAGAGATTTCACAGGGTTCTATCAACTTGCCAGAACATTTTACAAAATGAGTCTGAAACCCAGATAATGATGGGTGAGTGGTGGGTGGGGCCACACCCTGACTGGGGCTGCTTAGGTGTGCACATGCATGGCCCTCTATTTGGACTTTGGATGTTACTCCAGGGCCCAAAGATGAACTCGGGAGAAAGCAGCTCTTCTTCTCTTTGTTCTTCCCGATGTCCCTCTTCCCTTGCTGCCGAACTCTCGGTTCGCAAGCACACCCTAATTCTCACCACCAACCACACTACCCACCCTCCCTCACCATCTCTCCAGAGCCTGCCTTCTTCACAAACACCACAACCTGGGGAAATCTCGCAGGCTTGACTGAGAACTGTCACCCTCCGTAAGAACCAAGATGTCTCTGGGTTAAAGTCCTGGCTCTTGGCCTTCAATTTGAGCAGAAAGACCTGCCAGCATTTTCAAAGGAATATTCCAGAGACCAAGAATTCCTAGGAAACTTCCCATCAGATTGTTTTAACTGGAATTGACAACCAGGCACAGAACATTCTTAGGAAACACCAGTCACTGTTTCCCTTCAGCGTTTCTAACTCTGTATAACTTCTTACTTAAATAAGGGCCACTCAGCTGACGACTCATGACTGAAAACGAGTCTTGTGAGAGATGAGCCCCTAGATTTGAAGGGCCTAAGGAAAAGCAAATCATGTGCTTTCAAAGCCAGAGACATTTGAGGCAGCATTCTAGAATGTTCACATTGAGTTCAGAGGAGAAGCAAAGGTATAAGGTAAGTATAATGCAGTAGACAAGACTCTGAACAGTCAGGGAAGTTCTGACCATGTCTGTATGGACAGAAATGTCTTAACCCAGAGGACACATGGGCCACCCAGGTCCTTATCTCTGAACTTTGCAGCTCTTCTCAGCCTTTTGGCTGAAATCAAGTGTAGTAACTAGACTTTGTGAGTCTTCTCTTGTAAACCAGGCTGGTCTCAAACTCACAGAGATCCGCTTGCCTCTGCCCACTCCCCACCCCACCCCCCACCCCCATGCTGGGATTAAAGGTGTGCACCATCACCGTCTGGCAAAAATATACTTACCAGCACTCTAAACAGGGCTAAGACAGTTTCTTGGGTGTCACATAAACCAAAGGAAATAGTCATCTAGGCTATCCTTGTCTCAGTGGGTAGCCTCAGCATTTACCTTTAATGTTATAGCTTCATTCCTGGTGATGGGTCTAGCATGTTTGGAGGCTTTTCTTCTTGAGTACCTAAGACTCTTAGGTGTGTCTCATTCTACAGAGCAGTGGAACGCGCTCAAGTTCAAATATATATACACATGTAGCACACACACACACACACACACACACACACACACGATGTGAGTTGTGGAAAGAGAGAAAGGCACACAGAGACAGAGAGGGGAAAAACTTCAGGATAAACATCCAATAGTCCAATTCAAAAGCATCCACCACGCTGGTGCCATGTCTGTCAAAAGATCCATATTCTGCATGGCCGTCACCATCCACAACTTACCAGCAAGGATTTGGAAGAATCCAGTAATGTAAAACCGGCCACCTTTGGTGAGGGTGAAGAGCTGGCAGAAGAACAGGAACAGAGCCAGGACGCTGAAGATGACAGACAGGACCATGGTGGCCTGGACAGACTGCAGCCATTCTGGGGGACGGAATACTTGGTTAGAAACACTGGGAATGGCCAGGGAGGGCCTACCATGGGGCATGTGGGACTGAGAGGGCCTGGTTCCCGAGAGCCCCGAACCTGGTGGGAACAGTTCACTTCTGTACTTTAAAACATTGTCAAGCTGCCTCTTCTTGTTGAACCATAGACATTTCTGGAAAAGGCTGTAGGAAGAGTATGTGTCACTAGGAGTTAAGTGACATTTAAAACACACTAGACTGCCCTCCAATGTTTCTGCCAAATGTACTGCTTAAGCTAGCAGACAAATCGTGACTTGTATGATCTTACATTGTAATTTTCGGCTTTACAACAAAAAAAGTAATACACAGCTAGTAAAAACTGCAGTTCACACTTAGAATTTGGAGCTCTACCTGGGCTGGCTGTGTGTAGTATAATTCTCTGTCACAAAGGGAACAGCAGCAGTGAATAACAGTGAGAAGCAGCTCCCAGCCACTGACATGAGCAGAAACAGTCTATACGCAGTGTGCAGGGTGTTCAGCTGTTGGTTAGCTTGTGTGTTGAACATATCTTTGACTTACATTAATTTCAACTTACAGTGGGTTTACTGAAATATAACCCTATGGTAACCAAGGAGCAACTCAGTGTGTATGTGCTAGAGAGTCTGTTGCTTCCTAATATTCAAGGACTTCCCTCCCCATATGGGTTTCTGAAGAGTTTGTTGGATCCTATCTACTATATTCGAAAGTAATAGTTTATAACCAATATTCAGTAGGTTAGCACCCCCAAAGAGATCCTAGAAATGGTTGAGAGAAAGAAGATAGAGAGAAGAAGAAGAAGAAGAGAGGAGAGCAAGAGAGACAGAGAGAGAGAGAGAGAGAGAGAGAGAGAGAGAGAGAGAGAGAGAGAGAGAGAGACTCTTACAGAAAGTAGGAAGATAAAATTCTAAAGAGGATGGGCATGACATGCTGTATGCCAATTCCATCATTTTCTTGGCCAACCTTGACCATGGCCTATGGCTTTAGCACAGAGCTGTCTATGTTCAGTTAAATCACCAGATAGGAAGGATCATGGCTTCCATGTTCTCATTGTCGTCAAGCCCCTCCCACCAACATCACCACACTTTCAGTAAATCTCTAAACTTCCAACTGAAATTCAGGCAATGGAGGTTATCCCCAGGTCAACATCTGCTGAAAGTTAATCCGACTTTTAAAAAAATGAAGGAGGAAGCAAACTGAGCTCAGTGTGACATGTACAGTGTCCATCAGATGGGTCGTACCACGTCTACCCTACTCTCATCAAAGAAAAGAACTGACAGAGAGGGTTTTATCTTCTCAAACAGTAACTAGCTGATGTGCAATAGCTTAAAAGTGCACACATCACCCTGTGGTGACAGCCATCTATAATTCTAACACTGGAAGAAGATCAAGGGGAGTTCAAGACCCACCTGGGCTACACAGAGAGGCCCTGTCACCCAAGAAAGCTTGCACCAATGCTTAGCACAACATTCAAAGCTATGGAGTCTGGATTATTTATAGAAGTTGAGGACCCTTACCTAAAAACCTGCATAAAAAATGCTCTGAAATATGCAAACTTAAAAGGCCAGCATACTGTTCCAAGTAGAAAATGCCATCTCAGGAAATGCTGATTTGTGCACAAAATTATTACTATATAAAAGTAATATCATAGTATATGAAATGAATTCTATATTGAGACTTGGGTCTCACAGTCAACACTGTATACATGCAAACATTAAAGATTCTGAAAGCATACATTTTAAATATTTCTGGCGCAGGGCATTTCGGATGAGGGATATGAAACTTGTGATGACTAACTGAGTAAGATGGCCCTGTTGTGAGTCCTGAGTAGTCAGGAGAAACCTTTCAGATGCAGAGCCAAGGTTATTCCTATAGCAGAAGCTGTCTCAATGCAGCAGATATACAGGAAATGCATGTCCAAATGATAAAAACTATAAACTATTTTCAAACCTACATGGAATAGTCTTACAGACTGATTGTGCATTAGGTATTTGGGGGTGGGGAACCATCTCAGGAAAGTGAGGGTGATCTAAGCATAAACTAAAACCAGGAGTTGGAAAGCAAAAACCAGTCAGGGCAGGCCAAGGCTACAGCTGGAAGTATAGTGAATACTTCACAGGTACAATGAATACCTGGCACAGGAAAATAAACCAGAAGCCAAATCAATTTGCAAACTTAACAGAGGATTTAAGACAATCAGTTAAAGAAACGGAGATGAAAGTCAAACATTTCATCAGCAAGGAACAACAATGAAAGTTCAAGCATCAGACCCATGAGCTGCAGCCAAAGCAGCCTTCAGAGGCCAATGTCTGCCTCTTCCACCTTTACTGGAAAGATACTAAAGAAAGTGAAATAAATGCAAGATTAGTTGAGTTACTTAATGAAACTGAAGAAACACGACAACATGTACTTTTAAGAAAATACCTGGTGGGGGCGGGGCAAACATCAATGTGGAATTGAAGAAAGACAACAACAAAAAAAGCAACATTAATGAAATTCCTGAACAGAAACACTCAAAGCTGTGAGACTCCAGCTTTATCAAAAGCAATGAGCAATACAATGTTATTCTTGTCAATATTTTAACTGGAATTTGACAAAATGATTCAAAACTTCACCTGAAAGTTGACTGCAGGTTTACTGAGTGCTTGCCCAGGCTGCACAAAGCCCTAACTTCAATCCTCAGTACTGGATAAGCCAAGCATGGTGGCTCAACAAAAGCTCAAGGTCATCCTTGGCTACATAGCAAGTTCAAGGCCAGCCTGGGTTACATAACACCCCGTCTCAAAAAATTTTTTTCTTCAAAAAGAAAATAGAAGCAAATAATAACAGCTAAGAAATATTTTCAATCAAGCACAGTAACAACAAATAGAAGATCAACAACAATATAAAACAAAGGCAAAAAAAAACCAGAAAAAAATTTAAAAATTACCAGACATCAACCATAGACTGCCAGTGTATGTCTATTACCTCACATGCTATCTATTAGTAATATAATTCATAAAATATATCTATAATATATGATTAAAATATTTTACATGCAAAGCTTTAATGTTTTAGCAAGTCATACTGTATGTTCTAGTCACTAAAAGAAAATGTTAGAGTAGGGCAGAAGGAAGACTTCGCATGTCTAGACACAAACTTAGTATACACGAAATGCAGTCTGCAAACCATAAGGAAAGAAATGATAGGTGCGGTGTCAGTTGAAGTTAGGTCTCTAGCTCACAGATCCACAAGATTAAGCTGCAGTGGGATCAAAGAGCCAAATGTTAAATTAAAAAGCCACGTAGATATGTGATTCACAAATGAAAACTATAAAGCCGATAAATACATGAAGATACCCAACCCCATTAGATAATCAGATGATGTGTGGGAAACTCATGAAGAATGTGATACCAGTTTTTATCTACCCAACTGTCAAAAAAAAAAGTTTTTAAAGACGGTATCAGGTCTGTGAAGATGGCTCAGTGGGTAAAAGCCCTCGAAGAATCTATCGTGGAAGGAACAACCAACTCCCAAAAGTCACCCTCGTACTTCCACACAGGCATCAAGACATGTGAGCACAGGCGCTAATAACAAATAGAAGTTAATGTCAATCGCATTGCCTGGATCACCATGATACACTGTTCACAGGAATAATGGTAACATAGCCTTACATACCTAGAGATCCGAAGGAATATATTTAAAACTTTCAATGCTTAAGGCATAATGACTCAATAATTTAACATCTGTATCTAGAAGTAAATTCTTGAACATATACTCAAAAATATTCTTAAAATTTTCATCAGCAAATAATGACTTTGAAAGTAAGCAAGCCAGACCCACTAGCTATTGCCAAATCAGCCTTCAGAGGACAATGTCTGTCTCATATGCCTTTCCTAGAAAATACTAGAGATAACAGGGTTTAACTGTCAACTCCAGAGGAAATAAATCCAAAATTAACTGAGTTAGTATAGATTCAGGAAATCAACCAAGGTGTTCACAGTTGTGTCAGTTCTATTATAAGGGATAATAAATTAACATTATCTCCCTATAATGTCTAACCTATAGTGTCCTACAATAATGAACCAGGCTATCTACCTACGATGGGCCTGCAACACTTGAAAAAATGACGAATTAAATAGCAGTACCTTTGTAAGACCTCAAGACAATAAGAATTAAAATGTGCACACAGCACAGGGTCATTATGCAATCACACCAATCACACCAAATGATAGTACTTGCTACAGTACACCCGTACAGAAAAGAAACAAAGTCTTTCAAATCTGATACCCAGGGGACACCCAGGAACTTCAGTCATGAGGGGGAGTTTGGTCAAAACTCCTTTCACTGGATCTGTTTCTTCTGATTTATTTTAATAAAAAGAGAGTGTACTCTTCACCTATCTGAAGCTTTCATATCCACAAGACTCAACCAGACAGGTCAAGGATGCTTTGAAAAGCTGTGCCTAGAGTGTACACACAGACTTCTCTTACCCACACACCCTGAGCAGTAGTACAACGACAACTATTTACGCAGGCTTCCCATTGTACCACTGTTAAGCTAACAGAGCATGCAGGAGGGTGTGCAAAGGTTAAGCACAAATATTAACTACCCTACTGAGTGTGAGGAACTTGTGTTGATGAGGATTTGGGCACTGGGCTGGGAACAAATCCATGCTTCATAATGCAAGGCAACTTCTCATGTATGATGTGAACATTTAAACATTTTTTAAAATTACAAGGCAAAGAAGATACGGCAGTGTCAATAGTAAGAGCTGGGTTTCCGAAACTTAAAGGAACTGCAGGATTCCCAGCATAGAGAAAAGAGACCCTCTTTGCATCAAGCGCCATCCATCAGGTGCTAACTGAGGACAACAGAGGATAAGCAGAGAGCGAGGCCTTGGAGAAAGCAGCCTCCATGACAGTCCCAAGACTACCTCAGCCAGCTGGCTGCTCAAGGGGAAGCCTGCAATGTCCTAAAGGGGCTGCACCACCCTACCATTTC